AAGTAATGACAGTTGCAGGAGAGGAAGCAGTTGAGAGCTATTAACAGGTTAATTGATACTCTTTTACACCTTTGTGAAGAAGTGAGTTTTTAATGATTTTTTGAAGTAGTGGAAGTTATCCCCACTATAGCATACCATTTGAAAAAAGTAGACCCTGCAGAATATTTCATATGAGGTATTCTGAGTCTTTTCATAAATTAATTTAACCACCAATTTCTGATAATGTTTGCAGAATTTCTTCTTTCTTTCTTTCTTTCTTTCTTTCCTTCTATCTTTCTTTCTTTCTTTTTTGCTATTTATGTGGACACAATGCTCTTTTTCAGTAAGGATGACGTGTCACACTTAGTTAAATGAGCACTATATATATATATAATTTTTTATTTTTTATTTTTTTTATGTTTAATCCCTTACACTTTTTTCTTAACGTAGATTACTGGGCTCCCACTTAAAAAAATTAAAAATAATAGTAATAAGAAAATTTCGAAAACATATGTGTAATCCAGCACCGAGACAGTCTCCTCTCTGCAACCCACTCCACCCAGTGTGAGATCCTGATTATCAGTTGTCCAGTTCAGTGGTTTCCACATAGAAGTAATAAGAACCTACAGCATATGTTCAGCCATCATCACAATCCTCCAACCCAATGCATGCCATAGAGAAGCTTAAGATAGATTCATACAGCGTCATGCTATGCTTGATGATGCAGAGTGTGAAAACATATGAAAAGCAAGGTCTTTAGATGGACGAAACTGTACCATCAGTCTGACAGCCACTGAAGGTGTGTTTTCACCAAATGTAAACATTCTCAATATTGCCAACATTCTCATTGGCAATATTTTACCAATATGTCTTGCTGTTAGATAAAAGGGACAGCAAAGATTGCAGGACTGATGTGCAGCGTCTCCTTAGCTCTGCAAAGAGATGCATAGAGATGCTGAATGCTCCCATAGAGATTCATGGACTCAATGCATCTCTATGAAAAGATGCTGATAGACGTGCAATTTGACATGCATGTGCATTAGCTTTCCAGTGCATCTGTGTGGAAAAGCATTACACAGTTACATTGTTACATAGCTGAAAAGAGACATGCGCCCATCAAGTTCAGCCTTTCTCACAAGTGGTTTTTGCTATTGAACCAAAATAAGGCAAAAAAACTGAAGCACTTCCAATTTTGCAACAAACTAGGAAAACAATCCATCTTGACCCCAGAATGGCAGTCAGTTCTCTCCTTGGATCATGAAGCTATTACCCCACTAATAAATATTATATCCCTTAATATTATATTTTTCCAATTGCTGTTTAAACATCTGTATAGACTTTGTTAAAACCACCTATTTAGGCAAGATAATTCTACATTCTTATTGTTCTAACTGTAAAAATCCCTTTCCTTTCCCTTACACTAAATCTCTTTTCTCCCAGTCTACATGCAACCTTGTGTCCTATGTATAGATTGATAATCTCAGTCGAGGTGGCAGAATGAGGGAAAATAGAATAAGCCAAATAGTCTTTTTTAATGCACACAGGGGTTTCCAATAATCTAAGTAGATGACTGTAGCGTTAGGAGTACATGTTTGTATTTCTAATGCTATAGTGTTCCTTTAAGTAGTCTTGTGCATAAGGGAATCCCTTAGTCAGAAAAATACGTATCATCCACCAAACAAATTTAGCAGCTGCCACCTAGTCATCAATTTTCTTCCCCATCGCTTATCTCTTTGTTTGGTGCCATGGGCAGAACTCCGAATTACAATGAGCATATTTACCCATTGCGCAAGTTGTTTATTTTGAGTTTAGTTTATACGGTGGTTAGAAAATTGAAGTAATAAAAAGTCTATTGTAAAACAGGTAATATATGTAATAGAGGCGGAAAATCTCTAGTTTAGTGTGTTTAGGTAGTATAGGGGCTTAAATTAGTTATTCACTGTAAGGGCAGCACTGAGATGCAGTGCTAACTGAGATTAGTGGGAGTTGAAGTCCACTAAACTGGCAGCAGGTGCCACTCAGAAGTATACCTCTCACTAATTAGGAGGTAGCACTGTGACAATTATGTCCTTGATCTGCTGGGGATTAAAATGATATATAATCAACATTCTTTGTTTTATTGCACCTTGTCGTAGTGATATCCACAGAAACAAATGAGAGAATGGGCACCAAATCATTTCAGTTCACACATGTAATGTATGTCAATGGGTTCTATGCAAATGCATGGCACATTGCTCTACATGTTGCAAAACTCAGGTATGCTATCTGCTGTTCTTACACTAGACGCACTTGCAGCGAATGAGTTAATTTGTTGTTCCCCTGAGTGTACAAGCTCTCTTCTGAATTCCTGAGCTGTGGGGTTATGGGAGGGAGTGCCCTCCAGAGGAACTTTTGGGGTTAGAAGAGAAATTGGCCTCTGCTGAATTCTCCACTGACAGGAATTATTGGCAACCTCCTGACCTACGGTTTACTCTACCAGATTAGCTGAGTGCTCCTAAGGGGAATCAGACCTTCCTTGTGCTGTATGTGTGTGTATGTGTGTGTGTGTGTTTGTGTGTGTGTGTATGTGTGTGCCTTGGCTTCGGAAAAGAGAAATGAGAGGAAGGATACAAATTCATAAATTAGGATGTCCAAAAAATATTAGCTACATTAATAAGAAGAACAAATACTAGAACAAATATATGCTTTGCATATAAATGGTGGTAGCTGAAAAAAAGAATTATAATCAAGTATTACTTGAATATGAATAAGTGAAGATTTTATTTAGAATTATAAGGTTTAACCTTATATAGAATATCAGTCAGAATGTTTAATGTTTGTGAAAGCTGAGCATGGCCCTCTCGTTTTAAGAGCTGATTTAAAGTAAAGGCATCAAAATATGTATTTATGAGGATGATTATGTTCCACTCCAGGTAAGTCTAGGAAACAACTATATATACTCTGCGGGTAAAATGTGCCTACTCTGATGCAGAGAAGATTAAATAGAAAACTTACAGTAACCCTGTTTAAATAATTTTATGAAGTTTCCAAAACAGGCAACATGTCGATAACTGTGCATTTTTATCAAGCTTAATGAAGACACGTGGATGTTGGAATGATGCCATGTCTGTTGGTTGGCAAATAAACTTCCAAAAAGTGTTGAAGACATTGTTACAGATCTGGATTTTTACCTACTATTTTGCCACAAGCTGTAAATCAGTAGGTGCCAATTATCATCAGATACCCACCGACATCATAGAGCAGGTGTACAGCATTTTTGTACAGTTGCATATATCATAGGCCAAATGAGATGGTGGTTTTCCTTATTGAAATGTAAGTATACCTAAATCTTCAATAATTCTATACATTTACTAGTTGTGTGGCTAACACTAAGCATGCTACAATGAAGCCATATTTAAGTTTAAAAATGCTTTAAAATTGTTCTAATTGCAATGGGCTTAAAGGTATTCTCCAGTGCTAGGAAAACATATTTGTTTTCCTGGCACTGCAGGACCCTGGAGTGCCCCTCTCCCTCCCGCCCCCCCCATCCCAAGTTGCTGAAGGCGTTAAAACCCCTTCAGTGACTTACTGGATGTCCAGCGCTGATGTCTGTCCATGTGCAAGCGCATTAGACCTCCCCATAGGAAAGCATTGTTCAATGCTTTCCTATGGGGATTTCGGCAACGCTGGAGGTCCTCACATAGCGTGAAGGCGTCTAGCGTCATATAACACACTTTTCGTGTTGTAAGAACACGGAAGTCCCTCTAGTGGCTGTCTGATAGACAGCCACCAGAGGAGGACTTAACCCTGCAAGGTAAATATTGAGTTTATGAAAAAAACGCTTGACAGCATCTGGACCAAATAAGTTTATCTTGGTCGCATCGGACCACAGGACATGGTTCCAGTAATCCATGTCCTTAGTCTGCTTGTCTTCAGCAAACTGTTCACGAGCTTTCTTGTGCATCCTCTTTAGAAGAGGCTTCCATCTGGGACAACAGCCATGCAGACCAATTTGATGCAGTTTGCGGCGTATGGTCTGAGCACTGACAGGATGACGTCTATTTCCCAAAGACAACCTCTGGATATGATGATAACATCCTAACAACATAATCTTCTGTAGTAGTTCCAGCATATATTTAAATGCATTTCTTTATAATAAGAAACGCTCGGTAGAAATGTAAGGAGGCAAGATAATTATGTTGTGTTTTTTTTTTTGTCAATTTGTCGTTATTGAGACTTTAAAGAAGGTTTACAGGATGAAAAAGGGAGTTATTGCAGGCTGTATCATAGTTAATATAGCAGTAATATGCACAACACAATAAGTTCCTGTTTAAACAAGCCTCATTTTTTGTTAGTAAGAGTGAAAGAAGTAACATAGGAATCGTATTATATGAACAAGAAAGAGAGATCAGGCTTAGAGACTCAATTGAGTAGCAGGCATCTTGCAATTTTACATTAAGCTCACATAGTAAGCCATAGAAACGCAATTGTAGCTAAATACAAGTTTAAGGCGCCATGGAGTCAGGCTGTATGCTGTTATTTCACGGTAAATGTCTCAAGCTTAATAAACCACTTGGAGCCATCGCAGTAAGTATCAGTCTATTTCAGGAGGTGCAGTTAAACCGTGGAGAGGTATCTGCCAGGTGCTGCCCAGGAGACTCATGTTCAGCCGTTTCCCACACTGGGCATAGAGGGTGTTGGGCTCGGAAGGCGATTAAGGGTAGCAGCATAGTAGTGGCGAGGAAAGGTCTCCCCCCAGCCTTAGGCTAGTGTGAAGGCCAGCATCTGTGTGCCACGGGCTCGGGTCTTCTGTGAATCCGAGACCTTTCTAATGTGGGCACGACGGAAAGGGCCAAGTGGTCTGGACATTCGGCGATTTGGCCAATACTTATGGGGTAAATTGCTTGTGGTCTTCGACCTAGGTAGGCAAGCGGGAAGGGCTGTGCCCGAGAGAGGCCCCCTCATCCTCTGGTCTCCATCCTCTGTCACCTCTCTCCGGGACAGGTGTGGTGTGGGAGTTGTACAGTTCTGGATCTCTTGTCTCAGTTTTGCAACGGAAGGCCCAGGTGTTCTGCCGCCACCAGCGGTTCTGCCGACAACCAACAGTTTCGACCAAAAGCTGGCAAAGGCCCGGTCCATGAGGCCAAGGAGGTAGGAGTCTGGATCTTCACTGTCGCCACAACGCCGGCCATTTTGGGTTGGTTTGAGCCAGAGAAGTATTCTGCGAGAACCCCATTCTCTATATAAGGGTTGCGAGACATTGCCCCAGTGGGGACCAGGTTAACACCCACCGGTCCGGGGACGGGGACGGGTAGGAGCATGCTTGGTGTGCGCCACTGACCAGGGGATGCGGAGAACGGCCGTCTCTCCCCGTCCCAACCACCTGCAGGCCACAGCTTCAGTTCTCCATTACTCCGCCGACTGCCGTCATTTATATTACAGGTTGTTAGTACTCGAGGCACTCAGGAGTGTATAGCCCGTGTTTGAACAGTAACGGGCAAGGGTTTTGCTCAGAAATCAGGTAAAATCAGGCTCGTGGACACAGAGATCAGCTCAGGCACGTCTTGCTGACTCGGCAGTCGGGCTCCGTTGTCCCCTGTTTGGCACAAAATAGCAGCTGAGGTAAAATTTCCAATTAAAATGGTAAAAACAAATTAAAGCTTCCTTGACTTAAGTTTGCTAAAGACAAAAAAAATTATTCTCTAAATCTCTCTTGAAACTGCTCATAGAAAATGGAAGATAAATCAATAGTAGTAGGTAGTCGCATGCATTATCACCTGGTTATTGGTGAAACCATGTTTTACTAGTTTGAACAAAACTGGGAATTCCTAATGCATCACTGGACTTGCCCCTTGCTCAGGTGTTGATAATGTGGAGATGTAAGTTCGCCATTTGCAACATCAATTTTAGTCATATTTAAAAGTGTCAGCAATTGCTGAATAGGGGTAGGCCCCGGGAACCTCAGGGGCTTAAGATATTGGTCATGTCTACTTGAAAGTGTTTTGACCAGGTCTAACTAGTTATCTAGTTAAAGTGGACTTAAAGGAAATACATATCAAAGTAAATAACTACCGTATATACTCGTCTATAAATAGATCTCGTCTATAAGTCGAGTGCAGCTTTTTGACCAACAGTTGTGAAATATGCTATGACTTGTGGATAAGTCGAGGGTACTGCATTCAAATAGAATTGTTCCCCTTCTGTTCGGTTACCGTACTGCATTTGAATGGAATTGTTCCCCTGTGTGGCCCCCCTTGTTAACGATGAACGCACAAACAATCTTGTCTCCCGAACGCAGGCAGTGGTACATGGTCGTTGACGGCATGGATCTCTTAGTCGACTACACAAGCCAGCGAACCCCGCTGAAACTTGTACCCCTGCCCGTTCGACTTCCCGAACAGCTAGGAGAAAAGCGTTCGGAAGTCAAAATTCTATCAAAATTGGAACTGACCCATGGATAAGTCGATTGCGTTTTAAAACTGAGTTTATGACTAAAATTTCTCGACTTATACACGTATACGGTACATTATATTAACCAGTGTCAAAAAAGCAGAAAATATTAAAAGGACACTTATAATCACTAAAATTCATTGAATGGGTTATGGTGAAAAGAGGCCATGGTTGCATTTAAGTTTAGAGGTAGTAGGATTAAAGGTTGTTAAGGACCATTGAGGACTTGGGGGCCTCCTTTAATATTCACCCTCCTATCATTGGCATGCAGATTATGTAAGAGCAGTGTCAGAGTGTGTGTCATACAAGGCTGTCACTGTCCCTTAATTTTGGCATTTGCTATGTGAAAGTGTTGGTTAGTGGGTTTCAGGGATATTACCTAACATCCTTTAACCTGTCTGTACCCAACCATCTAAGATAGAGAGAAATGAATGCATTGTGGAACCTTTCTAGCATAGGGCAGCACCACGGCTATATACGCTGAAAGTGACTTGACTGGCACCATGAAACTAAATGCTTTGTGTTATTTTCATTTTCGGTTTATACATATGCACTGATAAGACCTCATTATATAACATTCATTTAGTCTTTGGTTCCTCTTTGCTTATTTTACTCGTTCATCTGTTTTTCCTTCAAATGTATCAAATGCCACACTGTTTATGCAAACTGAAAGCTTCTAGGCTAGAGTATATTATAATGGATGGTTAGCTTAGTATTTTGTTTTTTTTATTGATCTTTTGCATCCTTAAAGGGACACTATAGACACCAAAACAACTTTATCTGAATTAAGCAGTTATGGTGTATAGGTCATGCCACTGAGGTCTCAATGGTCAATTTTCTGCCATTTCCGAGTTAAATCATTTTGTTTATGCAGCTCTAGGTACGCCTTCCTGCATGTGACTTACACAGCCTTCCTAAACACTTCCTGTAAAGAGAGATCTAAAACAACTTCCTTTATTGCACACTGTTTAAATTAGAATATCCTATCTCCTGCTATGTTAATATCCTTCTAGACCCTGCAGGAGCCTTTTGTGTGAGATTAAATTTCAATTTACAGAGCAGGATATAAAAACATTTCTAAAGCAAGTTAACATCTGATTGAATTTTAAAATATTTTTTTCATGCAGGCTGTGTCAGTCATAGCCAGGGGAGGTGTGGTGAGGGCTGCATAAACAGAAATAAATATGAATGAACTCCAACAAAGCTGATAATTTAGCAGTGAGACTGTATGGGCATGATCTATACACCAAAACTACTTAATTAAGATAAAGTTGTTTTGATGCCTATAGTGCCCCTTTAGATTTTAGCAACATAATGTTCACTGCATCTATAAATGTACACGCACAGAATCATTAAGTAACTCACATCCTACACCCCAACCACACACTATACTATTTCTTTATAGTAAAGCCCCTCCACACACAGTCACACCACTCACCACAACACGACTTAAATGATACACAGGATCCATCAGTCATTACACACGTCAGTCACATAGATCACAATTACCAGCATGTACTTCTAAAGCCTTTACTTTACACACAGCACTTTAAACATGATATGCTCTTCACACACACTACTACAATACTGCCTGCATATGATCTGCTCTTCAGATGGCCAGCCAGCATGATTGGAAATAATCTGATGTGTATTCATACCAGGCTGACATGTTTATTCTTAGTGTGGAATGATCCATTTCTACGTGGAGTGATCCATTTTTGGGCACTGCCCACCAGGGCCGCCATCAGAAAATTTGGGGCCCCTAACACAGCTCAAGGTCTGGGCCCCCCTTCAAGCCCGCCCACAGGGCCCGCCTCCAAATCCTGCCCACAGGAATACACACACACACTAACAGATACAAATACTGAAACAGACATTCACACATGCATAGGGAGATACTGACACACACACACACACATATACATGCAGACATACATACTGACAAACGTACATACATACACATACTGCATACTTATATATACATATATACATACATACACACACTGGCATACATACATACACACATTGGTATACATACATACATACATTGGCATACATACACACTGGTATACATACATACATACATATACACACTGGTATACATACATATATACATACACACACTGGCATACAAAAACACACTGGTATACATACATACATACACACACTGGCATACATACATACATACACACACTGGTATACATACATACACTGGCATACATACATACATACACACACTGGCATACGTACATACACACACTGGCATACATACATACTCACATACATATATACACACACCTCATTTTCAGCCTTACAATTTCGTCACAGGAGGGTGGCTGGGGATGATGTGAGTTGGCTTCCTCTCCTCGCGGCCTTCATGCTTTCTCTCTGCCTTCCCGCGCGGAGTAAACTGGGAGGAAGTGACCGGATGCCACTTCCTCCCAGCAGTACTTGCTTTCCGGCTGCATTTTTTTTAAAGGGGCCCGGTCGCGCTATTACAGCGCTGACCGGGCCACTGAAGATAATAGGCCCCATCAGCGTGTGGGCCCCGGTGCAAATGCACCGGCGGCAGTTCCGCTGATACACGTGGGGCCCGGGCCCCCCAAGGCCGCCGGGCCCGTGACAACCGTCATGGTTGTCACCCCCTGATGGCAGCCCTGCTGCCCACCAGTGTCCAGTAGGCCACTTTACAGTAGTAGTGTTTGGGAATATGCTGTTGGCCATAGTGGTTATGTTTGAGGCAGTATTTCCCAAAGCATTCCTCGTGACCCAGAAATAGTCCAGGTATTGTCAGTATCTCCATTAGAGTAGAAAAGGAAAGTACATAAATCTCAGACTGTTGCTGGGCCTTGAGGACTGGTTTGGTAACCATGGCTTTAATGGAATTGTGTCTGATTCACTTCCTGCTCTTGGCAGGGCTCACTGCAGAAGCTGCAACATCGATGTATTTATAGTAAATGTATGTACCGGTAATCTAAAAAATGAGAAACTGTTTTTTTTAATTATTTTGAAGTAACGTGTCAACTCTGGCTCGGAGTGTCCATTTAATATCTTCTTAAAGTACCCTAAATAGGCGGGCATTTCACTGAAAACTTCTTGTTTAATCGGCAAGTCTGGAGTATCCTGAAATATTTTTTTTTACCCATTTCTTCCCTATCAGATAATTCAACCAGTGAGTTATTCATGTTCCCACTGCTCTGAATGTTCTTCTGAATGTATTGATGGACTGGGGGAGCGGCAGTCTGAGTGTTGCTAGAGCATTTTACAGCTAATATCCATGTTAATAGCTTAAATATTTACAGGAGAAAGTCTCGCAGATTTAGATTCAGTGAATAACCAAAAATAAGATTTTTTATTAAATTAGGAAACTATGTTCAGTATTTGCAAGCAATTTAACAATTTAGATTTTAATTAATAAATGCACACAGTTTTCCCATGAATACAGATTGATGATGAAGATATATCCCAAGCGCAATATATTATTTTTAAGGGATCAAGGTGACATGCGTACATATTATTGTTACAATGCTTTGCTATGTTTTTTTAAGAAGGCATGATACAAGTTCTGGCTTTTTGCATTGTAGGAGTGGAGTGGAGTGAGACAGAAATTTATAATCTGGGGATAATTCTAATGCTCACAAATATAGTGGATATTGTGCTTACATTGAAATGATAGTCCCCTGTGCACCCTTAGTAGCCGTATATACTCAAATTTTTGCCAACTACAATGCTAATAAAATGATCAAGAAAACACAGACAATGTTATTCAGGGTGAGTTGTAAGAAATTCAAAGTAAATTTTAAATCATAGC